CGGCAGACACCATACCTGTAAGAATGTGGATTACTGGAACATCCCAGGGATCCCTCCCAGGACTCCTGTAACTACTAATGAGAGGCCTTGGGCTTTCAGAAGGGCCAGCACGAATGACAACCTTACATAAACAGCTCTGCACAGAAGGGTCTATGACTCAGCCTCAGCAAGCCCTTTGCAAGCCTGGTGCTCAGCTGCAGACACAAGGCACTCACCCCCGAAGCCGCAGAAGCCGGTCTCTTTGTAGTCCTTGCAGATGTCGGGCTGGTAGTCCCAGCGCACGGTGGCCCGCAGGTGCTCTGGAGCACGGATGGGGCCTTTCCTGAAAGGGGGTCAGAGGGCTCAGCCCGGCTGCAAAGTGGCCCTGGAGCAGGGCCCTGGCCAGAACCAGACACCATGCTGGTCAGGCAAAAGCTGGCAGCAAGAGCAGAGTTCCAGCCCCAAACACCACCTTGGGATGGTGCCTGAGCTCCTCTGTGATCGCAGACCCCCAGGGCTCATCCCAACCAACCTGACCATTCCTGAAGAGGCATTTCCCATCGATGTGTCTTTGGGCTTCACATACTTCTGGTAGTTGTTAATGCCACGGTAAATTTTATCATCTTCCTTTCCTCTCAGCTCCTAGGAAAGCAAGAAGAGATGATTAAGGATTAGGAGAGCTTCATGACATGGATTAATTGTCACCACTCTGACACCAGTCTTCCTTCCCACCCTGCTTTAACACCAAGATGCCAATAAAGCCACAAAACTTCCCTATTTGCAAGGGTTACGCTCCCGGTTTCTTGAACTTCTAGAGAGGACAAGACTCTAACTCTTCTTGGTGTGCAGAAGGAGATGAGTAAAGCACAGGCTCTCGGACTGCACAGCATGAGCTCCTAAGGAGCAAGGCTGACTCACCTCCTGGATTTTCTGGCTGCGCTCAAAGATGGCCTGGGCATCCTTCTCCTTCTCCGTGTCCAGTTCATACACTGCTGTGGCTCCCATGTCTTCTGGGCCAACAGGTTTCTGAAAAGCAAGGAAAACTTGTGGCAAGAGTGAAGGGAACACTTGGACAAGACAGAGCTTGGCTGCCTGAAGGGTTGTCACAGACAAGACATAAGGACGGGATGCACCTGCTTTATCCTTTGGCATTTGCTAGGGAGAATTCACCACAGGCTCCAGCCTAGTGTGTACAGAGGCCAGAATGCTAATTCCCCATTGCTCCCAAATTTTAGCCTGCTGTCAGGGAACACTTATTTTACTCCCTCACACTCAGCCCCAGCTCAGCTGGAAGCCCCACTCAGTTCACCACGTCCAGCACTTCAATCATGGGGCCCTCCTGCCCACACACAGGATGTTACTGAGCTTCTGAACCAGCTGGGGGTGGCCAAAATTCAGTTTCAACCCAGTGATCTGGTTTAGATTCCTCTTTAATGGACTGAACAGATACCTATTCTTAGCTTTTTATCACCTCTTCAAGCTGCACAGAAACCAGAGAATAATTACAGGCAGCCTCAATTAAAGACAAATCCAACTTGGGTGCCAAAAGCTTGCAGACTCCCAAAGCTCTCACCTCCTCCCTTCCCATTCTCTCCAGAAGGTTGGGAAAACCAAACACTGCCTCCCTTGGGAGCAGACAAAGATGGTCTAGTAATGAAAACAGAAACCCAACAGTTGAGCAAACCTGATCCAACTGCTCCCTCTCCTGAAAAATCTGTGCAGTGTTGGGCAAGTCCAGTGGCATCCTGGAGTTTTAACTCTCACCTCTAACAGGGAAAGACCAACCTTTAAGGGCCTCCCGTGGAGGGAGGTACTATCAGAATGAACCCAGCACAAGGTGCTTGGCTATTAAGAGGGGACATTAATAAGAAAGAATGTCCAATCCCATGTTTAGAGTGGCAAATTCTGTCTGTGAGGAGCAGGATCCCCAGTCCCACCTGAGTTGACGTGCCAGGCCCCCTGCTGCCCGTCCTTACCGCCGACCTGGTGGATTTGTAGGTGACACCGATGTCCTTGGAAGGATCCTCATCCTCACTGCTGCTCAGTGCGTACTCCGGCCTCTCCCTCGCGCAGCGCCTGGTCTAGTGGGGACGGCAGGGATGGGGGAGGAAAGGCTCCAGCACTCCAGCCTGCCTGGCTGAGCCTGGCAGGCACCACAAGCAGCCCCGGATGGAGCAGGCGCTCCTTCGGAGCTCCTTTACCTTCTGGATCATGGGGTTGGGGGTGTCCCGCCGTCGCTCCTTCCGCACCACACTGCTGCCCTCCTCCCCACTGCTCTCTGCGGGGAAAGCCTGGCGTGAGGGGCCTGGGCCCGGCCTGAGGCAGCCCCTGCCCTCGGCGGGCTGGGGACGCCCACGGGAGACCAAACAATCCCACCCTGGCAGCGTTGTCCAAGCGCTGCTGGAGCTCCTGGGGCCGTGACCGTTCCGGAGAAGCCTGCTCAGTGTCCGACCACCCTCCAGGGGAAGAACCGTCTCCTAATATCCACCCTAAATCCGCTCTGTCACAGCGGCAGGGTCCTTCACGCCCTCGGCCGCACGCACAGCGCCTGGGGAGGGCAGCCAAGCCCCCGGCGTGGGCAGCGCTGGAGGCGGCACCAGGACCT